TACCTAAGTTTATCCGTTTTTGACATTTTTAATTTTTTATGCAAAAGATGACGTTTGCAAGACTTAAAATATCTGCCAATTTATTCATTCGGAAGCATTTATTGTTTCTAACAGATTCAGTCCCATTTCTTATCCGTCGTCTAAATTGCTCAGCAGTTGACGGTTTCTGTTTGTAAACTAAAGCTTTAAGTGTACCCCCTAGAAAAGCATCCAAGGGAGTTGAGTCGTGGCTCCTTGGAGGCCAGGCATTACTACCATTCTCCACAATCCATTCTCTATGTGCATTTAAATAGGTGCAAATTTCTTTACTTCTATGATACGGAGTGCTATCCTGCTGCCAAATTAAATTTCGTGGTTCCCTTTCATAATATTAAAAATATATTCAAAAGCTCCAAGTAGCGTTGGGAATTTAAGTTCTCATAAAAAGAAACTGGACTTATTATTCTTAACCTCCAAATGGCGCCCTATAGTCGGACAGAATTTCTACCTGATCCTGTAACTTCCATATGCTTTTTATTATTCTTGTTGCTCCAGTAATAGGTAATTTTAGTGAAGGTTGTAAATATGGACTCATCTATCCAAATAATCTTAGCAAATATATTTTCTGAAAAATGTCTTTCCACAAGATTGTTGCAAAAATCTAACCTTATGTAATCAGTCGCTCTAATTTCTGAACTGGACAGAATTTATAAGTACTTGTTGTTTATTTGAAGGTACGTTCAACAAAATATTAAGTTACTCTTCATCATTGAAAATATGACAACGCCTATTTTTTTTCTTTCTTCAAGGTTCCATATAATAAGTGTGGGTAAATCCTGTCGAAGACCTTTTTTTGGACGCCTCCTTAATGGACATTTAGTTATATAAACTCAAAGAGCCAGAGTCCGGTTTTTATTGTTCGATATGTAACTTTCTAACATATTAATCTATTCCTCTGTGGTAAACATGATACGCAAGCAAGCGCACAAATCAAAATTATAAACGATAGATAAATAGATCAGTAATGTGTCAAAAAATATTTGAATTATGACAGTAATCAACAATAAAACACAAGTCCAACGAGGCAGCATCCCAGCACTTGTTTTGTTTAAACGCCGTCATAGCCACCTTACACTAACTGAACTTATATATACATGTATACAAAGGTTCAAAAGGAAATATTTCAAAAAGTAAAAATATTAGGCATAAACAACCTTAACGTGTATCCTTGGTCTTATTGTGTGTAAATAATGCATACATACATTTACATAATCTGTCATCATAACCGCATCGGCAAGATGATGGTGAATTATGAAATGGTAAATCATAGTGGCAGCCACTTTATACACTGAACTTATACGGCAACAGCATATTATTTGTGATTGACAAATGTTTAAAAGGAAATATTTCAAAAAGTAAAAATATTAGGCATACACAACGTTATATAAAATTGCCTTAATTTTTAATGCTAAATATGGCAAGATTATAAAAATTGGTTGTTCCTATTTAAAAAAAAGTTTTTTGGCAGTTTTTTTAATCTTATTTTTCGCGTACCCTGTATAAATAAAATAAAATAAAAAAATATATATTTGAGTCTTTTGGCTACAACAAAACTTACTTAAGTGAAACAACAAATGCTTCCGAATGAAGAAATTGGCAGATATTATAAGTCTTTGCAAACGTCATTTTTCGTATAAAAAATTAAAAATGTCAAAAACGGTTAAACTTAAGTATTTGATATTATACACAAAATATGTCTTATTTTGTGTAGAATTTAAAAATGAAGTAATATACCAGTTGTTCTATTTAAACACGCTGAGTACACAACTTTCAAATAAATTGAACATTTGTAATACCCCAATTAATTTTTGTATATCACTTGTGGCTCGATCTCCTATAATTTGTGAAAAAAGGTAGTGTCCCAACATCAACCTTATACAAGAGACTGATTTCAAAAATTATACGTATGGTTCAAATTTGTCCGACATTTGAATGGCACTTTCCAATACTGAAACTCTGAAAGTTTTATCAATACCGGCGCACGCAGGGATTATTTCAGGACATGGATAAAGTAATAACTGCGAAATTGTAATATATCCTTGCAGAATCCGCATTAGGTCAAACGGCAGGATATCTGCTACAACGGCGCGACTACGGGAAGCGCCGTTAATGGAATTTAAACAGCAACCCTTAATAGATTAATAAACGGTAAAATTACATGTCACGAAAGACAGATACGATTATTTATTGTAATCACTACGCAAACAAAAGCATTGTAATCGATACTAGAAATAACACAAATTGCTCCGGTGCGCTTAATAATGGAGATAAAATAGGATTATGCCAAACTCATCATTTCGCCGTTAAGTAGATTTGGATTTTTAATCATTTTTAGTTGCTTTACCAGGAAATATTGAGCTCTGTTGGTCCGATTTCGCATTACACGGTTAATAGAATATTATCACGAGAAATAATGTTGACGGTTTGCAGAGCTGTTTTCAGCGTTTCGAATTTGGAAAAATAATATATGAAGATAGACAGGTACAGCGTAATATCGGAATTTTAAGACCTCGCTACGGCAAATTACAAAAGTTCTGATGCGGTAATAGTAAATGCAAAATAGCGGTAAACTCTGACTCTAATCAAAATAAGCAACCAAGAAATGAAGATAAGGAGGAAGGGAGACAATACAATTACTGTGCCGAAACTGGCGAATAGAACATACGAATATTTTGATGGCGTGGCAGGGGATTTATTTTCGAAATGGTCAGACTTGAGGCGAACCTGATTACTGCGATACGCCCTGGTTAAAATAATGCTGAGAAAGACACAAAAATAAGAAGAAACTAAAACCCAGTCTGGTTCAGCAGGTAAAGAACACGGAGGTGCGGGTTAGTGGTGGGTACTGCGTTCCTTGCGTGTCTGGCTAAACAAGTGCAGCAACCATTAGTTCTCACCCTGGTTTACAATCTCGGTTGTCAGACATTTTCTAAATAGCTGGAACCAAAAGCCACTTGGAACTTGGCACGTTCTGTACAACCACGGAGAGAATAAGTTACCATATACCGTTTGCCTACACATCTATTGACTCAGTTGTACATAACTGATATTTCCGCTACAAACATATTATACAGAAAACGGAATACGCTTGTAGCATACTTCATTGTATCATTTTCATTCTAGTTATAACTATAACTATAAAACGATATTTACATTTATATGTACTTATATTTTGCATCAAGAACTGAAAAATAACAATAAGTGGACTGAGTTCATGCCCCACGTTGAACAAATGCCAAAGTTCAATCGAACCAATGTTCCTCGAATAAGCGGCGATACAACTTTCTTAGTATCACATAACGAACAAATAAACTTCCAACTTCATAAATACACTAATTGGCAATTAGAGGTTTATTAACGCCTATGTATTCCCGCCGGTGTCATTTCGCAGCGAAAACATCAAAGCTAGATTTTATGATAAAGCCGTTTCATCTCCTTGGGCTTAAAATTGCAGAAACAAGTGCACAATTAAAAGGTTGCGGACCAAAAACCGCTGTTCTACGCTACTTCTTTCTACATTGTACTGGAACATTTTTTTGAATTAACAAGTTTGCTGATTAAACTGATGCCATCTCGGAGCTGATTTTTGTTGCTGACTACGAAAATTTTTACTACGAAAATCCAAATATGTTTAAACTACATGAAATGTCGTCAATGCACAAGGGAGTATTTTTCCCTAACTGTACTGTGAATTTGTCATGAAAAATTCATTGTATACGCTATACATAAATAAAAATACCAAAACTAACCAAAACCGTTTTCTGAAAATTACAGTAAAACATAATTAAGAATTGCTTTTCATTAAGTTTAATTTCACCATGATAATCCACTATTCCCTTGAACATACCTTACAAGTAAAAAAATAAAAAATTTTGCATTTTATTCCAACTGTCAAGCCTCGAGAACTTAAAATGCATCTCATAAGACATCAGTGATAAAAATATTGAGCTTTGTGGACTTCATGACTACAATTTAATTGCAGGCTGGGGACTGAACTTAATTTTCGATATAAATTAAAATTAAAAACTACTTTCTGAATTGTAGTTCGAATGCATTGCCATAGATAGAGACAAATCTCAATTTTCCTACAAGATATGGCATAAATACAGAAGGTTACAAGTCCATATCAGATAGTAGCAAAGCGTCGCCATCTACATTTCGATAGTGCAACTGATTATCGATTAATGTTCGTTTTTTGCGTGGTGGTTTCTAGTCAATGTGGGAGCAAGGTCATATAATCGATATAAGAAACAGTTTTCTTCAACATCGAAAAAGAAGAATTTTATCTAAATTTATTATTATCACAAAAATACAAATACGTAGTGATGTGAGATGCGAATAATAAATACCCTTTTCCAAAATATATTTCCTAATTTTCTAAAATCCTCATTTAATTTGTCAAAATTTCCAAATTCTAAATAGACATTGACGTTAATCCCGCACTACACCAATAAAGCCTACAGTGAATCATCTACAACACATAAATACGGAGCTTTTTCTTTATATTATCGTATATTATATTGTCGGTGTGATTAGACAGTTTTTTGAATCACTTCGCAAATTTTCAGAATCGAGAGCATTTCTCTTCACGGTTATGGTAAATATTCCGGGAGACATTCTGCAAATCTTGGTAATTACTAGCAATCAATTATTTTGTATATCACTTTCAACGAGGATGTAAAACTGTGTTTAATTGACAAATTGTACTTATTTATTTTTATGTTATTTTTGCCAAATTCTCACATCCCACATGCATATCAATTTAATGGTCACCTAGTTAATTTCTCTTATTTATATACCCGAAATTATTTAATTACCCTTGAGATGAGCAAAAAGTTGCCCAAGGTAATGGTAATAATTGATAAACAATCACTTAAAATTAACAAATAAAACGCAGAAAGTGATGAAGGAAGAAACCATATATTAATAAAGCAAAAAATTGCTTCGATAGCAACGACAAAGTGACAGTGTACAAAAAAGATCGACTAAATCGATTTAAAAACATGTGACGGCGTTGAAATAGCATCTCCAGTAAATGCGTCCTTTTCCTTGCAAGTTCGATATTGACTGGTGTCCTCTTCTTTGCAAATCCATCTGCAAAAAATAAAATTAATAATCAAATTATTATTATCGAATGGGAATCGAATATCGCCTGGAAAATTTTATTTCTAGCTTGGTTGTTGCGTTTCTATTTTTAACTCGTTGCATTTTATCCGCTACTTACACTTTTTTCGTGCGGCTCTATAAAAATCGTCTGGAAAAGTATTATGAGCTTTGAACTTGACTGCGTCTGTCTTCTTAGCAGTTGATTTATTTTTGCACGATAATTTGATATGTGGCAATGAATATCTCTACGAATTCTAAATGTAACTTTGACATTAACTTGATGCTGAGTATACACTAATGGTAATTACTCTAATAGAAGCAGATTAATACTACTATTAACTCTACTAGGTAGGAAAACTGAAAAAAAATAATTTCGAGAAAATAGACCATTAAGATATCTAAATAAATTTTTAACTCTTTCGCTTGTTTCATGCTTGGCAATATTTATCTGTATTGTTTAAACTTTATTTGCCTGTTAAATGCCATTTAAATTCCAACTCAGATTTGTGATAAAGTTCATAAAGTAGGTCTCTTTAGAGGCAAAAGTGTTAAATTATTATCATTCGCAAGCGTGACAAGGAAGAGCGCTGGTAGTAATTGTCAATGTATTAGTGTATCAATTAGTACATTTGCTTATAATAAATAAACTTAATGTGCAGATGAGTTGTTTTGAAAATGAATGTTAACTTTACAGGGTGAGATGAACACGTAATCTTTATTGGAAAAACATATCAATTTTTTTCTTAAAATATAAATTTATTTGCTACAAAATAAGAGAATATTAGAAAATTTTACTTTATAGTCATTGTATTGAAACATCTAATTGCGTAGTTAAAAGAGAGAGGGGGGTGGGGGGGAGAGAGGTAGAGGGCTGGGGGAGGGGGAAGAGAGAGAGAAAGAGGGAGAGAGGGAGAGAGAAAGATGGAGAGAGGGGGAGAGAGTTGGGAGAGAGGGAAAGAGAAAGATGGAGAGAGGGGGAGAGAGTGAGAAAGAGGGAGAGAGGTGGGAGAGTTTTACTGTTTAACTGTTATTCCATGGCTATCCTCAGTTTCTACTGTTTTTGTATTCTGGCGAGTTACGCATCGAATATGGTAAAATAGACTTAAAAGTTCTGTTTTTAGATACGTAATATTAGTTCGACGCAAGCGCCAAGTTTACTTTCATTTCCTTTTTTTTACGGTTTGAAAATACTCGTTCTGAAGGGAAGGGTAGTTTTCTCCCGGTGTAATGGACAAGACCAAAATTGTTCCTATAATTTATTAAAAGAAAAGAAAAAATAGCGATGATATTTTCAGCACTTCGTTCCCTAAACGCCTAATTTAATTTTTGTATGTTGATAATTATTTAACAGCCAAAAGATCTGGATAACTAAAAGTAGTCAATTAAAAAGTAAAAAAAACGCAGTTTCTAAACTAATCTGTTTTTATTTGAAATCTTACTAGTCTTGTCATGACGATAATTTTCCTTGTTTCCTTTCCTTTAATGCTTTAGGCAAAACTTACCGCTTCATATCACAAAATATTTATTGGTTTAAGAAAATTTCACTTTGTTCAATTATTAAATATTTTATTCTTACTTAAATGTATTCAATAACGTCCATTTTGAGAGGTATGTGTGCTTAACTAACTTACATTTTTTCGATCTTTTTGAGAGCAACGCATATATTTGTTGTGTAAAATTATATGTAATTATAGGTAAACGTATAAAGTACAAAATTACTGCATTTTGAAAACAACTTGAGCTCAAACTACAACTACATAAACAATATTTTGATTAAATTTTGACACTCCAAAATCAGGATGTTGTTATTGAAACCAAAACTAACGAACCAAAAGTAAGTGAGAAACGTCTTTAACTTCGCAGATAATTTAAATCAGTGCTAATTCTAATTATATAAAAATTAATTTTAATTTTATCAGCTTTATATCATTCAATACTACCTACCTATACTCTTTTGTCAGCAAAACATTAGGAGTAGAGATGTCAGAAATGAGAGGACCATTCACATAACTATACAAAATGTTTTGTGACATGTTAAATTTCTAGACTACTGTAGCGAAACAATGATGATACCTTCTAAAAGTATTGAAAACTTTTAATACTAGCTGTTGGAAAAAATTGGTTTTTGGGTGAGGCTTCTAAGCAATAGTTGGCAAATTCTAACCTCTGATTTGATGTAATAGCAATATGCAAATATGCATATGATAAATGCCACATTAGTCACGAGTTTTATTTGGCACGAACAAATTGTATTAGAAGATTGCTTTCTGCATCTGAAGAAAATGTTCTATTGAAATAAGTAATTTTATGGAATATACTATTAATGATTATTAATTAATGACTACTGGGCTCATCATTAAACCCCAAGAAACTAACGACAAAAACCATATTTACAATTTTTTTTATTAAACTACTATAACCAATCTACCAACACTAAAATAAAAACTACAACTTGGTTAAGGTGTACCAATTAAAAATTTTTGATAAGAAGTTTGGAATGTTGGATACTGTACTTACCGATCTCACATCATCAGCAGTTAGAAACTTCTTATTGGCCATATATCCGTCCACGAAATTTGTTCCCCTCTCCCTCTCTGCCGCTTCCATTGCGTCACGTAAGGCGAGCATCAGTCGATTTACTAAAAGAGCTGTTCGTTTCTTTGGAACAATAGTCTGAAAACCATAGAAAAAATGGAAAACCACGTTTGGACTCTCCCGGTAAGCATTTTTAAGCTACGATATACGAAAGAAATATACGGAATTGTATCACCCTTCGTTGAGCATCCTTATGGTAACCGAGAAGAGGAGAAAATAATTATTTTTACTCTTCGGTATCGGCTTATCAAAATTAATGGCGACGATGTCACAATATTGAGCATTGAAACGGTACACTTTATAATAACTTGCCTTGAACTACATAACGCCGCTTATAAATATCGAGGGTGCTCGATTGATTCTCACCAAACTTGAAGGACATCAAGGCGGCAGCAAAAAAAATTTCAAACGAGATTGCATTTGATACTCGAAAGAAAGTAGCTGTTTCACTTTTCTTTCCTCTCATTTTCAGCTATATACCATCGGGTATTTCATACGCTTTTAACTAATAAAATTATTTTTATACTTTCTTCATTGATTAACAATTTAGAACGTATTCGCAAAAATATTATTACAATATCCCAAATTTTTACTCTCAATGACTCTTCTTATAAGCCTGCAGTCAAATTAAGTTTTACCCGTTGCAAAATAATAAAAAAAACGCGAACTCGTCACATATAGGGACACAAATGATAACATGTGAAAATAGACGTAGGTAGGTAGAAAACCAGTACAGATATAGACTAAGTAATTTAATACAATTTGGTGATTACACTCAATCTCTAAATTCGAAAAGAAATTTAAATTTATTTATTTCAAATTTTCCTACATAGATATACCTACTTTTTTTTTCATTTTGCGCATTAATCAGTTGACCCATATTTCAGGCTCGACATTTTAATATTTCACGTATTTTCTTTTCACCCCTCCGCAAAACAAGCGATGTCATTTCGCTTAGCGCCCTTTGTTAGTCACTCCAATTACTTAGAAAAATATAATTTGCCCTCGAAAAGAAGCTAATACCGTCACGAACACGAGACAATTTATTAAAACGTTAAGCCGCGAAAACCAAATTCAATGTCTGACAAAAATTTAATATGACCGCCCAGTTAAAACTGGATTGCTCTTTCTTGATTGGTGAAAGGGCAAAATTAAGAAAATCATCTACATTTCGTATGATCTTTTAAACGAGTGATCTGTGAACAAGTAAGCACTGTTTGGTTAATAAAATGACTAAAAATTTTCCTTTTTTGATTTTTTTTCAACTTTTTTCAGTTTTGATTAGCATCTCCTACTACCTTATTATGGATGTCTTGCAAGTGGTCATTGTAGCTCCAAAAATAAATACCAAGGAAAATATTTTATAATCTCTCTATGGTTAAAAAATACAATAATACAATAAATACAATAAATACAATAAAATAATAAGTAAAAAAACAATAAATACAATAAAAATGACAACTTATTAACACTATAAATCGAATTAACTGAATAAAAAAGTGTATTTGAAATTTCATTGCTTAGTTACTGGTCATTGAAAAATTTTTCTCTACCTACTTTCATGTACGCATTCTTTTTCGCGACGTTCTACATCGGTATTTAAAGCGAAACTCCTCTATCTAAAAAAAATAAACGAAATCTGATGTCGATATCTGGGACTCATTTTTCATAAGAAATATGTGTGCAGTTGCACTATCTTTTTCCATAACGTACATTTTTCAAAAATTACAAAAATTTGTTTGCTATTAAAAATTTTGTGTGGCTAATAAAACATTTCTAAGCCAATATAAATGTCTCTTTCCAAAACTGTTTCAATCGCACTTTTCGTGATTGGTAATTGCACATTTTATTAAAACTGATCTGAATATTTGTATTTTTAATGACCCCAGTTTACAAGTGCTTTGATGTATACCGTATACTCAGGGATAAACATTTAAATTGCTCCTAAGATTACACGATTTCATTCTCAACCCAAAGTTTGGTGGGAGCGTGTTTGCAAAAGATCGGCTTTTAGAGGACAATTACCGAAGGATTACTATGTAAATCGCTTTTTAGTGGTCCGATCCATCAAAGAACGATTCCAATTAAGATTTCCAAGGACTCGGTTTTCATTCGCATCTTGCTTCCATGTAATATTATTTAAAGACTGCCAATGATTTTTTGCGTCCCCGTATTGGAAATTTACACCCTATTCGAGAAAACGAACAGCTTTACCCAGCCACTGTAACCCCGGAAATTATAGCAGATGCAAGGGACGTTAAATTGGAAGAAACTTGCTAATTTCACTACCTAACAATGCAAGAAACTTTTAAAATTCCGAGTACTCGCGGGGGTATCAGAGAAAGCCTGAACATTTATTTTTCTGGCGTTTTATTACATTTAATGATCACTTTTTTCCAGCACCTTCATTTTACCTGGTTTTTGCAGGTTTTTAGTTCTCCAAGAAGTATTATAAATAACTCAGCGTGTATATAATTCGATACCTTAAATTGCGTGCGCTATTAGTGCTAAATATGTTTGGCTACAATTCCTACATTTATTTTATACATACACCCTGTCTGTATATTACAGAGGCTATATTCTATTAATTTTCTTTTGTTTTTGCTTTAAAACGGTATTGATCCTAACTGTCAATGGACATTTTACGGCAAACAAAAATCCTAGCTGGCGATACCCTCGTGGTCGATTTGTCCTTATTTGGACACCCGGTAGATTAGCATATATGAGTTCTAACTCAATCATGCTTGTTCAAATAATTTTCGAATGGCGTAATTTACCATTAAAGTTCGATATACAGTTTTTACAACCTTTTACGGTTTTGTCTTCGGAATGAATTTAAGACCCGCCTGTTGTAAAGTGGAAGTGATCATTCTTTTCAGCTCGGGTACCACAAGCCAGGGTCGTATTTAAGATGTTAGCCGACAAGAACTGTGCCGTGAGGACTGTGGTATTTTAAGAGTAGGGAAATTTTCTTTGATTAAACTGTTATATTAATTCGTATTAGTGTGATTTTTATAAATCTTCCTAAAATAGTAGGTAGCTCGATTTCAAGCTGAATTGTCCTATTAGATAGGTTGATCTCCTACATTAAGAACACATTACAAAGCTTAAACTAGTTTCCAATTTAGGGGTTATACATAAAATATTTTCCTAGGAACGCAATACAAAATCTTATGTAGATAATTGATTTATAATCGGTGTTTTCCCAGAGAACTCTATTAACTGGAGCCATGTATATAGTTATTAAACCCTCTCTCTTTCCTTTTCTCGCTCCCCTTCTTTCTTTCTCGTCCCATCTCTATCTATCGCTCCTCTACCTCTTTCTCTGTCTTTATCTTTTTCTTTGCCTCTCTAATCTTAAAGCAACCTGTTTTTGACATTTCTCTTTTTTTCAGTTTATTGGTAGTAACGACAACCCCTAAAGGAGAGGTCTAAGACAGAGCGCCTTAAAAAAAGAGACGTTTCACTAATAAGAAGTGATCCTGAGGCCGCACCAGTCAGCACTAACTACTGCTTGCCTATTTCAATATCCTACAACTTTAGGTGCTTGGAAGATACTGACACCGATGTCATCTTCTCAAAGTCATGTTACAGAACGAAAAAAATTAGAACATTTTTCAACATATACGATATCTCCAATATTAATAGTAAATTAGTTTTGCGAGACTTGGCGGAATTAAAAAAATTAATTTCCAAGGGCATCAAGAATTGCAAACGCTATCTGAAATGGTTAATGGTCTCAAAAAAGTATCATAAAATACAAATAAATTCATATATGTGCTATAAACTATATAATAATTACGGCGATCAGTTTTACGAAGGCACTTAATCCCATTAATGGCAAATTTATTGGAACTAAGTTATATTTAGTTATCTGTCGATACAATTTCTTCTACTAAATTAACCCAAGTATATAAACAAAATAATCATCCCACACTAACTTGTTTCTGTTACTGTTGAACTATTTACCAAGTAATGATTGCTGTTCAGCAAACATAATTTTTTCATTTAACGATGGCGTATAATGATGATAATAATCGCGTCTCGATAACTGATAACAGGAGCTATGAAATTCGTCAAACTTTCGGCTCACTGCATTTCTCGTGTCTTGCCGTGCGTGGGTGATTTCTTAACGATGCCCTGACCGATGGTCATCAATTTACGTATGCACCCTCGCATTTTCTAACGATAAATCACGCCAGCGGTCCTCTGAAAACGTTTCCGTCACTTATATCAATAACAGTCGTAACAAATCGCTTTGCATGGACGCACAGGCTGACGAATCTTATATATATCAATATTTCATATACAGGGTGATATTGAATAGAGAGTTCTGAAGTTTGATGATACTCTGGAATAAAGTGAATTCGAAATTGGTACACCAGAAGTTTCTTGACATGAGAAAAATATTCTTTTGCACTTAGCTGGGGTCCAAATTCTTGACCGAGATAGAATAGAATCACTTCCGAGGACAAGAGGAAATGGAACGGAGGAAAAAGATGAAAATGAGTAGCACCGTTGTCAAATTTTTGACGTTTATGTGTAAATGCAATATGCAATTTTAATAAATTTTTATTGCAGCTGCATTCCAGAATTACCCTTTAAAAAGCAAGAACTGTTAAAAGGAATTGTCATTCCCTTAGTTCCTTCCTTCCAAATAACTTAAGAGAATGTTCGGGGAATAACATTCCATTGGTTTTTACTAAAATGATATTCAAAAACAGGAATTGCGTTTTTTGTTTTTCTATATAGAAGACCTACATTTTGTGCCAGAAACTTGGAACTCTATTATAATATGGATAACCTAAAAAAAATTAGGAATATACAAATTTTTAAGCCACTTTTTATGTAGATATTAGAGATTTCCGTTGTCCTTCACCCACCATTTTTTTTGCGGACGCCATTTTGGATGTTTTCGACTTTAAACGGAGTATAAAAATTGTAATCCTCGATGTGGAATAACCTTACACTTCAAAATATTTCACGAAGGTAGATTTTATTTCGGCAAATTTAAAGGTATGCTTTTTGTTGTTGTTGAGTTGAACTTGCCAATAGTCCAATTGGCTTCTTCAGAGCTT